AACAGAGCTTGATTAAGCAGTAGTTATGACTTATGAAGAATAAAAATTGTTCTAGGCAAGAAAATCAAGAAAACTAATTAACATATGCGAATTTAATCTTACACTTTAGATTACAAAAATCAAATTAAAAACAAAAACTCGCCTAAAAGAAATAGTTGAAATGGAACGATCAGTAACGAACGCAACCAAGAATTGAAAGAATGAATACTGAAATACTGAATACTAACGCCAAATATCATGAATCTAATGGAATCAAAGACTCAATTGTAAGAAAAAGAACTTCTGTTTCTCTTTTTTTTTAACGCTGAATATCAAAAGTATTGTTTGAGGGGCCTTCAAAGAGGGAACCCTACGACAAAGAGACTAATGAAAAAGAAAATCCCTACCAAGAGGGCATCAAAACAACAAAAATGCTTGTCGGCATCGTATAGTCAAGAGAGTAGTAGAACCACGACATGAGGAAATGGTGAGAAGGCCATATATATCGAGCCGGTTCAAGGGGCTACCTCATTAGATAGGATGTGGGAGAGCCATGATGGACCTTTTGCAGCGACGTACGACTGATACCGTTGACCTGTTGTAACTGATGTAGCGATGGTTACTGCAACAGAGTTACACTCGGGGCCGTATGGTTAAGACTCTAACCCTCTATGTCCTCTAACTTGAATGTAATGGTAGACACGAGGTGTTGGAGGTGAGAGAACTTGTGAGGAGACATCATGATGGATCTTGTCTCGGGTTCTGATGCCTCAAAGAGGACGTTTTTTCATATGGAGGTTTACCATGCTCTCCACTACCCAGAGCATTGCATAAAGATTGCCTTCGTCTTTTGAACGGATGAATGAGTAAGCTCTCCTGCTATGGAGGATGGTGACTCCATTATAGTCTCTAAGAATCCAGGAGACTCCACATGGTCGGTTAGAACTGATCCAGGAGGAGCCCACATTGCATTTAACAGACCCCTCAGGTGGTTTACACCATCTTTTGGTGACTTTTAAAGGTTATAATTCCGAATATGGAGCCTGAGCTTGATACCATAAATCAGCGTCCTCATATGCTTTAGCTACAACATGATGGGGCTGTACCTGATGATTTCTAAATATGAATGAGTTCCTTTCTTTCCAAATTTTCCATAAAATCCATGGAAAAACCTTACGAATTCGATCATCAGCTCTGTGGTTTTTGGAAACAGACACAAGGTGGAGAATGTTCAGGAACATTGAAATTCGAGAGAAACCATGCTGAGGTATTGGTATGTTCGCTAGGTCCTAGACTTGACAATATTTATCACATATGAATAGAACATGACAGATAGATTCGCTGATCTGACCACAACGAGGGCATGTGGAATCCCCCGGGATAACTCGAGTGCTATAACTGCGGAAAGTTTGGGCATTATCCTTCTGAGTGCAAAGCTCCAAACAACAATAAAATTGAAGAGAAGTCCAACTATATTGAAGAACTGAGTAAAGAAGAAGATATGCTACTTATGTCTTGCAAGAGTGATGAACCAAATGAGGTTCATAGATGGTATCTTAATAGTTGTTCAGGCAATCACATGTGTGGCGATTGAAGCATTTATGTGGAGCTTGATGAATGGAGATCATCAATTCATTTCCAATATCTACTACATTCCAAGCATGAAGACCAACATCTTGAGTCTAGAAAAACTCTTAGAGAAAGGTTATGATATTCGACTCAAGGATAATAGTCTTTCTCTAAGAGATGAAGCAAACAATCTCACCACGAAGGTCCCAATTTCAAAGAATAGAATGTTTGTCCTAAACATTGAAAATGAGATTGCAAGTTGTCTCAAAATGTGTTACAAGGAGGATTCTTGGCTTTGGCATCTTCGGTTCGGGCATCTCAACTTTGGAGGGTTAGAGCTACTTTCCAAGAAAGAAATGGTGAGAGGATTACCATGCTTCATCCATACAAATCAAGTGTGTGAAGGGTGTTTACTTGAAAAGAAATTCAAAATGAGTTTTCCAAAGGAGTCAGAGACAAGAGCAAGAAAGCCACTACAACTCATACATACAAATGTATGAGGTCCGACCAAACCAAGTTCACTTGGCAAGAGTAACTACTTCCTTCTCTTTATTGATGATTTCTCAAGAAAGACTTGGGTTTACTTTTTGAAAGAAAAATCAGAAGTGTTTGAGAATTTCAAAAAGTTCAAAGCCCATGTTGAGAAGGAAAGTGGTCTTGAGATCAAGTTCATTAGATCTGATCAAGGAGGAGAATTCACGTCTAAAGATTTTATGAAGTATTGTGAAGATAATGGCATCCAGAGACAATTAACGGTACCAAGATCCCCTCAACAAAATGGAGTAGCAGAGAGAAAGAATAAGACTATCCTTGAGATGGCAAGAAGCATGCTCATGAGTAAGAAGTTACCAAAGGAGTTGTGGGCGGAAGTGGTTGTGTGTGAGGTTTATATAACAAACTGATCTCTAACAAAGAGTGTTTTGGGAAAGACACCACAAGAAGCTTGGAGCGGAACGAAACCTGGTGTATCACATCTAAGATTCTTTGGAAGCATTGCTCACGTTCATGTTCCAGATGAGTTCATGTTCCAGATGAGAAGCGGAGCAAACTAGATGACAAAAGTGAGATGTACATCTTCATTGGGTATGACGCTAACTCCAAAGTCTACAAGCTTTACAATCCAGAAACAAAGAAGACAATCACTACTCGGAATGTCGTCTTTGATGAAGAAGAAGAATGGGATCGGAGATCAAATGATGAAGACTACAATTTCTTTATGTCTTTTGAAGAAGAAGATTTGGAGCAACTAAGAGAAGAGCCAGCTACACCACCAACTTCACCAACACCAAGTTCTCAAGGAGATGAAAGCTCAAGTGAAAGGATCCCACGTTTTAGAAATCTACAAGACATCTATGGAGTCACTGAAAATCAAGACAATCTTACTCTATTTTGTCTTTTTGCGGATTGTGAACCTCTGAACTTTGAAGAAGCTCAAGAAAAGAAGTCATGGAGAAGTGCAATGGATGAAGAAATCAAGTCGATTCAAAAGAATAAAACATGGGAGATAACTTCACTTCCAAATGGGTATAAGGGATGTGTGAAGTGGGTGTACAACGCAAAGAAGAACCTTAAAGGAGAAGTAGAAAGGTATAAGGCAATATTGGTGGCAAAAGGTTATAGTCAAAGAGCTGAAATCGACTATGATGAAGTGTTTGCCCCTGTTGCCCGCTTAGAGACGGTTAGGCTAATCATTTCATTGGCAGCCTAAAAGAGTTGGAAGATCCATCAAATGGATGTCAAATCAGCCTTCTTAAATGGAGATCTTGAGGAAGAAGTCTACATCGAGCAACCACAAGGCTAAAAATTCAAAGGAGAAGAAGACAAAGTCTTGAAGCTAAAGAAGGCGCTTTATGGATTAAAACAAGTACCAAGAGCATGGAACACTCGGATTGATAAGTACTTTAAGGAGAAAGACTTCATCAAGTGTCCATATGAGCATGCACTTCATATCAAAACTCAAAACAGTGATATATTGATTGCATGTTTATATGTGGATGACTTGATATTCACCGGCAACAATCTGATTATGTTTGAAGATTTCAAGATGGAGATGACAAAGGAGTTCGAGATGACCGATAATGGATTGATGCCATACTACCTTGGCATTGAAGTAAAGCAAGAAGAGAAGGTAATCCTCATTATTCAAGAAGGTTATGCTAAATAGATACTTAGAAGTTCAAGATGGATGACTCAAATCCAATTTGCACACCAATGGAATGTGGAGTCAAGTTGTCAAAGGAAGAAGAATGAGAGAGTGTGGATCCAACACTCTTCAAGAGCCTTGTTGGAAGCTTATGTTATCTAATGTTCAGAAGGCTCGATATCCTACATGCGGTTGGAGTTATGAGTCAATTCATGGAGCATCCAACAAGGACTCATTTCAAGGCAGCTAAGAGGATCCTACGATATATCAAAGGTACAAGCAATTTTGGCTTGTATTACTCTATTTCTGACAATTACAAGCTTGTTTGATATAGTGATAGCGACCAGGGTGGAGATGTAGATGACCGTAAAAGCACAAGTGGCTTTCTGTTTTTCATTGGAGAGACGGCTTTCACATGGATGTCAAAGAAGCAACCGATTGTCACTCTTTCAAATTGTGAAGCGGAGTATGTGGCGGCTACCTCATGTGTTTGACATGGTATATGGTTACAAAGCTTGTTAAAGGAGTTGAGCCTACCACAAGAGGAGCCAAAGAAGATCTTTGTTGATAACAAGTCAGCAATAGCTTTGGCGAAGAATCCAGTTTTCCATGATCGAAGCAAGTATATCGATACTCGCTATAACTACATTAGGGAATGTGTCACCAAGATGGAAGTGCAGTTAGAGTATGTGAAGGCAAATGATCAGTTAACTGATATCTTCACCAAGCCTCTCAAGCGTGAAGATTTTATCAAGATGCGGGAGTTTGCTCGGAGTTACAAACCAAGTTTAAGAGGGGATGTTGAAAGTTAAACTTGCTTTGGGTCATAGCTTTGGACAAATAATCAAAGCACAAGCCCCAAAAAGCCCAACAAGAAGAAGTGTGTAAAATAAATTATGGATAAGACTAAGAGAAGGATCTGAATGTAACTTAACTAGTATAAATAGGGATGTTTGGTTCACTTGTAAGATCATTCCACAACAAGCAATCATAAATAAAGAGTAGCAGTTTTAAGAAAGAGGTTTTTCTTAGAAAATTATAAACACTCTCGAACTACAAAGCTTGAGTAGCAAATCTCTTTTCTTAATACGGAGGCTAACTTACAGTAGCTGTCTAATTTCTATCTTAACCTCAAAAAGAAAAGTTATCCGGGTAAATTTTCCAACAGTTTCAACTCTTCAGCAACTAGTTTCCCCTTATGGAAAGGTAACTTCTAATAGATGGAAACTTCTTTTTCAAGCAAGTTAAATGATCTCTCTCTCTTACGTCTCTCTTGCAGACCGACACTGCATCAGTTCTTCTAGAGGCGATGCAATACATTCAGTTTCTTGAAGAACAAGTCAGGGTCTGCTTCTTGTTGTCAGAATCAAAATATGTTTCTTTCTATCTAACGTTGGCTTTGCTTAACTGTATGTACAAGTTCTAAGCGCTCCATATCTGCAAACATCTCCCATTATTACGCAGGTAAGCAGAATCTTGACGCTAACTTCAAACATCTCCCAACATATCTTGCTTGTTTTCTTGTAATCAGGGAGAGCTGGAGGATTACAGTTTGAGAAGCAGAGGGTTATGTCTTGTCCCAATGGAGTATACATTAGGGGTTGCTCAAAGCAATGGCGCTGACATATGGTCTCCTCCTGTGACGACTCCAACATCTCCTGCTTTCTATGACTGACTCCACCCGCTGGCTACAATCTGAAAGTGCAAGACTAATGAAAAATAAACACAAAAAGAGTTAGTGTGAAGATGTCTATGTAACATAAAAAAATTGATGGAGAGAGCTGATAGTTAGTGATGGTTGTTTCTGTTATTTTACGGGTTAATCTCCCAACTCTGTGATGGCTTTATAGCCCATTACTTGGATTTGTATAATAATTTGTCTACAAACATTTGGTAATAATTGAATCGAACGCAAAGATCAACTTCCTGTGTAATTAATTAGCTTGTGCTCCAGTTTAAAAAGTTCATGGAAGTATCTCTGGTCCCTTCTATATGTGTCTTTTCAGAGACATGAGTGTCAAAGACCTTGTCTTTTTTTCACCACTTACATATGAACCAGTGAATTAAAATGAATCAATCCCTGTTTCATTATTGTTGCAGCAAAGCAAAGGGGTCTGTTTCAGCAAAGGTCGATCTAAACCGAGTTTATTTTTCGAACCGGTAAGTTGAACCTTACCGAACCGAACCGAACCAAATCAAATAGAATATTTAGAGAGATATACCGATTTATTTCGGTTAATACCTTCGTTGGGGTTGACGAGAGATCTCTGCAGAACCAAATAAGAAAATCTAGACTTGGTAAAATTGCAATCAATACTCTGAAACCTTTTGAATCCGGGACCCGACTTAACTCGCCAGATTCAACGTAAGCTTTCCTTACTTTGTTAAAAACCCTAGATTGATTATTTCCACATCTCGGATTCATCGTGATTCATATATTTGGATGATGTAGAGCAATGGCTGGGGTTATGCAGAAGTTTCTTGTGGCATCAATGTTCATGTGGATGCTTCCTATTGCCATCTTATATGGTTTCAACCACGATTTACTCCCTGGTATTGTGATACATCTTCTCTTTATATTATCTTTGGAACAGTTGATCTTCCATGTATAGACCAATTGGTGATGAGATTTTGGTTTGTTTTATACAAAACCTTGATGTGTTTTTAGATTAGGACCAATTTGTTGTTTATCTTTAAGTAAAACCACATGAAAGCAAAAGTTTCTGGGTTACTTGATGATCTATGAGGACATCTGTGTCGTTTTTCATAATTGTACCCATGCTTGTGCCTTCGTGCTTTACTTGAACTGAAATCCTGTAAGAAGCCATTAGTTAGAAGTTCCTACTTAAACTGAGTTTTCTCTGGATCTTTGATTCACTAATGGTATGTTTGTGAGGAGTATCATGAATTTATAGAAACTAGAGGGCGTTACCAATTCCCCTAGTAATTTCTTCACATTTCCTATTAAGTCAACTATGTTCTGAAGATCTATATGGGTCATGATTGTAAGTTTGTTTCAAATTGAGGTTAGCCCAATGAACCACTATCTGAAGAATTTAGCAATTATGAACTTTTCCTTGCTTTCCTTGCCGAAGCATCTTTAACCTGCAAACACTCTTTTTTAGTGGAATTTGATTCAGGAAAATAGCTGGTTGTTGAGATCTGATGAGAGATTAGAGGATTCTGATCTGTACAAAATCCATTTAGAAAACTGCAAATTTTGATTAGAATTTAAGTGTTTAGGTATCATTGATAATTTGATAAGAGTTGGAGCTGGAAAACATGAGACTGAAATGCCAATACAAGAGGATATGATATGGCTGTTACCTTTATTCGTGTAACAAAGATATAGTTTAGTCTTTGACGCTTATAGTTCATGTAGTGTAGTTTTGAGGTAATGTCACCCTCTCTCTCTCTCACTGAGTTTTGTATTACTTTCCCAGCCTTAGTTTTGTAATAATATAGGTGTCTCAGAGTTATTACCACCTCTTACATTTGCCCTGTGTAAATCTTCCACAGGTTCAACAACATTGTCTCCACACTCTCTTACACTTCTGAGTGGATTTCTTGCGGTTGTATCAGTCAATGTCGTAATTGTGTTCTACATCTGTCTGGCCCTGAAAGAGCCTACGGATAAACACAAGCCAGACGCTTCATTTGTCGCTGAGGCCAAAGACAGCGTGAAGAAACTGACATCAGGAGTCCCAAGCACTGACCCGGCACTCAAGAAACAAGAGTAAGAGGTTACCAAAAACCCATTTTCTTAAAAGCAAGGAACAGCGCCGGTATTGCATCAGATGAAGCAGAGCTCAGTTCTTGCAATGTGTTGGTTATTATTTTGTAGAAGTTCTTGGCTGGTAGATCATCATCTGACATTTGATGGTTTTGGGGTTTGTTTTAAGCAACAGAAACTGCAATGCTCATGTTGAACAGATACGAGAGCTAATGTTTTACAAAACAGTGTTTCCAGTTGCTACTCCTTCATTTCAAGGACACTAAGTGAATTTTACGGAGACAATTGTTTACTTGTAAACATACTTCAACTATACAATTACTGGTTGAAATTAAAAAGCGAACCAGGTGTAAAGAAAAATGTTGACAAAAGGTTTCTTATAGAAAATATGAGATTAAATTACATAATTATTGTTTAAATGATCCTAGACCATGAAATACTAAATCCTAAACCATATTGTAAACTTTAACGAGGAAGTATTTGTTTTTATTCTTTTCAATAAATGTTTAGTGATTTCTTATTTGTGTTATTTTGGGGATATCAACTTGTTTTGTACTATTTTAAAAATTAATAATAATATTTTAAAAAATATATGTAATGATAAGTTATATAAAATATGTGTATTTATATTTGAGTTAACGACTTATAATTAGTGTTTAGGGTTTATAGTATAGAGTAGGATGTTCAATCTAGCGAAACCAAACCAAAAGGAAAAATTTGGTTTAAGTTTGGTTGTAACATATAAATAGGGGAAAGTTTGAAAAATACCTTATTTGTGATTTGAATTTGGAAAATTGCACCCTCATTTTTAGTTTTTGAAAATTACACTTTCTTATATATGAAAAGACAGTTTTATCCTAATTTAATATAAACCAAAAATTAAATAAATTTAAATGTGAAGTTATTTACGTTTGAAATAATTATATACTTGATATAAATGATATGTCAATGATTTAAGGGATTTTAAAGTACTAAATAGATATTTTACGTAGATCATACTATAAACACATGAAGAAACTGATATCATATTTGTATACTTGGCTGTTGTGGTGTATGACAAATCATTCATACGAAAAATGTTTTCGTACTTTCAAATACTGTAAGAACAACGTTATGCTCCATATTCACGCCGTTTTTAGTGGCAGTTTGTGATTTTTGTGATTATCCATATCTTTTTGAGTCCTTACTTAAACTTAGAATTTGCTGGATCTACTGCATCTTCTATGCTTGCATCTGTGATTGCCTCATGATATCACTCCTAAAACTAAAGTTTCATAAAAATGAGTAACAAATATGCATATATTGAGAACTAGAAAAAAGAAAAAGATATACAACATAAAAATGGAAAATCAGGGAGACGGTACTATACAAAAAAGGAAGAAGATATGTTTCACAAAAATGGAGAACTAAAAGAAATAGGAAGAATGGAGCAGAGGAATTGTCAATGATTGGAGATTGGAGCAGCCATTAAGGAGTTATCCGATGCCCTTAAAGCAGAGGAATTGTTCTGGAAGCAGAAGTGTAGGGTATTTTGGTTGAGAGAAGGGGATAGGAATACAAAATTTTTCCACGCCCTTACGAAGCAGCGCAGAGCAAGGAATAGGATCACTCAATTATTGGATGAAAATGGAAATGTTGTGGAGGATGAGGAAGGTTTGGTAGCCATTGCTACAAACTATTTTAGACACATTTTCCAATCCTCGAATCCAGAAACAATAGAAGAGGCTTTATCAGAAGTATCGACGACAATTTCACCAGCGGATAATGTGTCCTTGACAGCTCCTGTTACTGAATGGGAGATCAAATTGGCGCTTTTTGCGATGCACCCAGAGAAAGCTCCAGGTCCAGATGGAATGACGGCCCTATTTTACCAGAAATTCTGGGATATTGTAAATGAGGATTTAACTCGTATGGTTAATCAGTTCCTTTTTGAAGGCGTAGTACCACCGGGTTTAAATGATACCAATATTTGTCTCATACCAAAGGTGGATAAGCCGAATCAGATGAGCCAGCTTCGTCCTATTAGCTTATGCAATGTTAGTTATAAGATTATCTCTAAGGTCCTATGCCAGAGATTGAAAAAGTTTCTACCCGAAAGGATTTCAGAAACCCAGTCAGCATTTGTTGCTGGTAGGCAGATTTCGGATAACATTATGATCGCTCAAGAGTTATTCCACGCTTTAAGGACAAAGCCGAGTGGACGAAACAAGAGGATGGCGATAAAAACGGATATGAGCAAGGCATATGACCGAATGGAATGGTCCTTCATTGAGGCCACCATGAGGAAGATGGGATTTTCTGAGGTGTGGATATCTATGATAATGAGATGTGTAACGTCTGTGAAGTACAAAGTCCTCATGAATGGGAATCCGAGAGGAAATATTACTCCGGAGAGAGGTCTTAGACAGGGGGATCCTTTGTCTCCTTTCATTTTTATTCTGTGCACGGAAGCGCTCGTTAGCCTTCTAAATCACGCAGAGAACCAAGGAAAGATAACGGGGATGNAATGTATTAATTTTGATAAATCCTCTTTACTCTTTGGTAAAAGAATTGGACTGGATGTGAGACAAGAGATCAAAGACACCCTGGGGATCCAGAATGAAGGTGGAATGGGATCATATCTAGGAATTCCGGAGGACATAAGTGGATCCAAATGTAAGCTCTTTGCTTTCCTTAAGGACAAGTTGAGAGGAAGGGTGAATGGATGGACTGGTCGTTGGCTCTCGAAGGGTGGAAAAGAAGTTATGATAAAGTCAATCTTGCTTGCTCTGCCGACGTATGTAATGTCTTGTTTCCTTCTCCCACTGGAGATTTGTGAGAATCTAGCTAGTGCCATTGCACAATTCTGGTGGAGTTCCAATCCGCCGAAAAAAGGTATGCACTGGTCGACTTGGGATAAACTTTGCTTACCTAGAGAAGAAGGTGGAATCGGCTTCAAGATGATTCATGAGTTCAACCTTGCGCTTTTAGCAAAACAATTATGGAGATTGGCTCAGAACCCGGACTCTCTGGTTGCTCGAGTAATGAGAGGCCGGTATTACAGATTGAGTACGCCTTTGCGTCAAATCAGCACTAGTAGCCCATCATATGTGTGGACAAGTATTTCGGCTGGTAGGGAATTACTATTACAAGGAATTAGACAAAAAATTCATTCGGGATATGAAG